ACCATCTCCACCTACCGCCTCCTTCTCCTGGTTAGCCAAGTCTGCCCACAGCTCTTCTTCCTCGCCAAAAGACTTGTAAGTACTGTGTCTGTCTTTGGCAGCTTGGCAGTAAGGTCAGCAGATGCTATCCCCTCATGAGACTAGTCACTTGTACTTGAGCTTGGTGAGGTTTGTATCACTATCCTCTGCCTTGCTTTGGCTGAGTAAAAACTCTGCCCACAGAGACGTGTTTTCTCCACAGTTTCTTTGGCTCCCTGCAGTCAAAGTCTTAAATCTGAAACTCCATCACCTCCTCAAAGTGCCTTTTTCCTTTCCTAGGGCTAACTCAGTGTTAGGTTGATCTCATTCTTCAGCTAGCTCATCCTTGATCTGGGAACATCTTTTTTTTTTTTTCTTCTTCTTCTTCTTTTTCTTTTTTTTTTTTTGTCCTGAAAAGTGAACCTATGGACCTTTGTTCTGTCTGCTGGTACCGTAGGTTAAAAAGCAGTCTCACTGAGAACAGACCCGTAGGCTAGAAAATCTCCAAAGTAAGCATGGTGCTGGGTGAAGCTTTACTCTGGAAAGATACTGCCTCAAATGGCTTGTTTTAATTTAGCAGAGTTCTGGGTATGAGCCTAAAGCACCTGCACCTGTAAGAAAATCCTTCCTGGCAGCTCCCCTTAGGAGTCCTGTTGCCCCCCATGCTGGCTGCTCCCTACCAGAGCAAGCACATCTGGATGCTCTCCCAACTACGTACCCTTGCTTTTCATACTTGCCCAGCCAGCTATGTCTGTGTTCAGGGCCATGCAGTGCAAATGGGGTTAAGGAGATGGATGTGCTTGGTGGTCAGGAGTCTTAGGTTCAGTAAGAAGCTTCAAAGAGCAAATTCTGTCCCCTAAATGATCCCACGTGAGACCAGGCCTACACAACATTCTCCAAAGCGGTTCATAACTTTCCCTTCCCTAAAGATTACTCTGAAATCATCAGTATAAAACCTGGAACTTCTCCCCACGATGTTGGGAAAGATGGGGGTCTTGGTTCAGAGGTGAGCTCTCTTTTGGGTTTCCAAATACTTGGTCTCCATTTCCAGAACTGCCCCAAATGACAGGATAAGAGGGATAACTTTCTTGACAGGAAACAGCCTGGCAGGCAGAGAGGGCTGATCTTCTTAATAGTGTCTTCAAATCACCTTAATATAAATCCTCATAGAATAGTCTTATTGGCTTTAACAGGGATGAAAGCAATAGTGCTGCAAAGAAATGAGTAGCACTTGAGAAGCTGCATTAAAGGTGTTTAAGCAGTAATAGAAAATTATCATTTTGCTATAGAATTTCAGCAATCCTTTCCTCTTAAGGAATTTGAAATATCAATTAAAAACTCTTCAGAAAGGTTATTATTCTCTGTTAAGCCCTGATGGATTTCTTACTTAGGCTGGCCTATAAATGATCTGCCTTGTTCCTAGGAGTAAACCAGTTCGGGGTCCTGTCTCTCTGAGCCACATAACTTGAGTACTTCATTCTGGAAGCATGAATATCATAATATCTATTTTTACCATCATCAAACTTTGCTGTCACTGTTTATTTGTAGCCATCTGTCATTTGGCGTAAAACATAAAACAGAAGGAAAAATCACATTTATTTATTAACCTGTTTGCTTTAAACTACCAGCTGTGTAAGCATCTGAACCTTCGAAAAATTAATATGCTGTTACTCATATGGACAAGTGGTGCAAGCAGGAGCTAAAGAACTGATCTCGTGATGGTATCTTCCTCTGAAAGTGTACTCCTTGGCAAAAGTCTTATTTACAACATTAAGTCAATCAACGTTGGGGTTTTTTTCCCTGAAAGAACTCCTGGTAATTTTTTCAAAATCTTTTGGCCAGGCATTTAGCCAATAAAGCAAACTTTCAAATTACTCAAGTTGTAAAAAACATTTTACAGTGAAATCTCAAAGCAGGAACAGATGCCTGGGTTTGGTTTTGACAGCTGCTCTTCACCTACCAACATGTAGCCTATTTGTGTTTACTTATTCATTAATATTGAAAAATAACACAATAGGATCAGATGTCTCAGCTGGCAAATGCCCTACTTTTCCTCTGTGTTAGCACCCCTGCCTCAGCATTCATGATACATGTATGCTTTATATTTAAAGGTTAGCTTTATTATTGCACCATTGACATAATTTAACTTAACTTCCCAGATAAAATGATCAAGATCCCACTCAGGAAAGGTATCAGTTTAACTGGAACGCAGCAACAGCCCCATTAGTTTTCCAGAGACCATGTTCATTCTTAAAGTAAATGTTTTTTAGAACTGACCTGGATAAGAACAAATCCTCTGGTCTAAAGCTCATATTCTAGGTCACCTGTGATCTCCATGAAAACCCATATTCCTCCTTTATACCAAGCTCTGGGTGGAAAGGAAGATGCTTAATTTTTTAAAACAGAGCCTTGTCAAGTGAGGCTTTAGCTGTAGCGTAAAGGCGCGTGCATTGTTTCAAATGTCTGCATTTTCCAAATTAAACTCCTTAGGCTTGTTCCAAGTTTGGGGCTATTTGTCATTACCCTCTTTCCACACAGTGAGGTCAGAGAAGGTGCCCCTGTGACGGTGTGTGGGGAGCACGAGTGGCTTGCTCAAGTGGAAGGGGCTAGTGGAACCCTGATGAAAGCTCGTTAGCCATTTAAGTGCCCTTTATTTACCTGCAAGCTGGCTATCAGCCAAAAATTAAAACTCAAACCACTGTCAAGTTACAGGGTAGCCCTGAAACGTTGTCAGAAAACGCTTCAAGGAAACCGGAGACATTTCAGAAATGAAGGTTTTGACCATGTTTTTAACTCATACATTGCCATTAGGACTTTGTGGATAGAAGTTGTTTTCCTCTGAGAGGGCAGGAACAGCCGAGCTGGTCGCAGGCCAGAGCAGTACAGTGTTTGGAGACCCAAATCTTCCCCGGGTTACAGCATCAACTGTTTGCATTATTGCAAGTTAGAAGCCTGTGTTCTCCACAGAGCCTTGGGGCTTGCAAGAGATTTGGAGCGTAAGGACGCAAAGTTGTGAAATAAATACCCGAGCAGTCACCCTGACCCTGGTTTGTAGGCAACCAAAGTCTACCTGAGCCGTTCTGTTGATGTTCAGCATGGTGGTGAGGGAGGGCAGCTATCGACAGGCACCAGGAGATCGGTTTTGTTCAACTGGGCACTGAGCGGCAGCACGTTGCTTGATACCTAGGAGGATTCTCCTCGAAAATGCCATTTCATTCTCATCTGGGGATTTAAATACTGTACTAGATGGCACTGGACTAAAAGGAATGTCACTGAGGGGCCTTGAGAAGTGTGGAGAAGAAAAAATGGGAAAACAATGGGGGAATTTCTGGGAGAATCAATTCCTCAAACCAGAAAGAAAGAGGCAGATAAAAGCAGACATGCTACATGCAAACAAAAGTTCCCCCAAAAGCTGGTAGAGTTCCCTAGACTAGCTAAAACCAGTAAAATTATATAGGTATTTTGAGAAATTATTCAGCATTAGCTACGCTCCTGTCTCACAAGTTGAATGTGATTGGGTTTAGCTGTGTCTGGAAGGAAGCACTGGTAACAAAGGCAGCACGCTGTGATCATTCCAAAAAACCCCAAACCACCACCTCACAGTTAAACCTGGAGACTTCCTTGTGAGGAATCTGCCTGCGCTTTGTGTGCCCAAACTGACTGGTTTTGCATCACTGAGGAAGGAAATGGTGTAGAATTACGGAGGATTTACAAGCAAGTAGAGCTGAAGTGAGGTGCTCAGGCTAAGGTGGGGGAAAGCAGACTGTCCTGCTCTCCGGTGAATCCCCCAAGGCCAGCCTGTGCTGCTGCCGGAAGAAAAACCATCATTTCGGCGGGAGTTCTCGGTGAGTTGCTAAATCTGTGCCTAAATCAGGACTAGACCAAAAAGGTCACTATCAGGATAAAAGAATTTGTCACAGAAATACTCATCCCCGTTATTTTAGTATTTTCGAGTATTAGGCAACAGCCGCTGCACGCTGTGCCCGAGCTGCTGTCGACTCCGCGGGGAACTTTTTGTCTTTCCAGGAGTTGGAGCGAAGGCCTTCGCTCGGTGTTCGGGGCTTGCTCTGAGCACCAGCCCGGGAGGGAGCGCGAGCTGCAGCTGCGGCGACGCTCCGTCAGAACCGCCCGAGCGCTACCTTGTGTGGCTCACGTGCGTCCTTCTGACGTCGTCGGTTTTACAGGGGAGCTATTTCAACGTAACCCGCCAGCTGTTTCGCGAAGCGGCTCTTCCTAAATTGCCCAAAGCGCGTGAAGCAGAGGTTGTGATGACGTGCGGTTTTAAATCACTCATCCTGACGCAGCAGGAAAAATGACGCGAGCCGCCGACGATCTTTAAAGCACGCGAAAACGAACTCGACGCGGGGGAAAAACCCGCCGGTACCGGCAAAAACCGGCCCCCCGTCCTCCCGCAGGCCGCCACCCGGACCCCGCCGAGGTTCCGCGCCGGTGCCTCCGGTGCAAGCCCAGCCGGGCTCTGCACGGAGAGCCGCCGCGTGCTGCTGGCGGGCGACGAACG